AGTTTGGCTGCAGAAACGAGGTGGTGGCCTCGGACCTGGCACCTGGAGGTGCTGCTGAGCTAAGCTGCCCTGGGAAATGGGAAATGGGATGCATCTTCGGAAAGTGGTGGGTGGTGGTGGTGTTCCTTCCTTCTCATTGTGCTGTGGTGTGCTGTGGCTGTTGCTCTTGCTGTTGCTGTTGGATGGGGGGACCGAAAAAGGAAGCAACGACTGCCGATCCTCGACGTCATAGCAACCGACGCAGGGAAGGACCTGTCTGTGTCACTGTTTGACGGCGGTTTGCGAAAGAGCAAAAGCTCCGTGGGTGCTGTTGATGGCAGCCGTCAATCCTTGACCCGAAGGCCGTGCTCGCCTTTACTTTCTCAGCCCAAGGAACTGCTGCACCGAGCTGCGCCATGTTTCTCTCCGTTTCTCGTTTTCTGTCTCTCGCAATGCGCAAACACCGCTGTGATGCTGTGGCCAAGTAGAGTCGATTAACCGTCAACACCAACACAGACAGAAACAAAGACAGACACACATCAGGCCGCCTTACCTTGCCTTGCCGCTGTTCGCTGCCCGTCCCATGCGACTTCATCGGTCGTCGTCGTCGTCGTCGTCGACTTCGTCAGTCAGCAGCAAGCCAGGCAGCCCTGTCGAACCCAGCCCGCGAGCAGAAAAACTGGGAACCATCCCTGCCCCCTCTTTTTTGCTGCTTCCTTTTCCCGCCTCTGCAGTCTCTTTCGACGGTGCCACCATCTCCAGGGTCGCATCTTGCAGACCGGTGCATTGTGCACTTGCAGCCAGCCAGAACAGCCTCCAATGCGACTCTGTATCTTTTTCGCTTCGCTTCACCATCCATGACCTTGACCACTGTGATCCAGCCCAACCACCCCCAATTCCACCTTGCCCTGCTTTGCTGCCCGCTTCCACCACCACGCAACTGCGACTCTCTTCTATTTGCTGCCCGTCCTTGCTTGTCATGACTTGCTGACCCCCCGTCCAGTCCAACCAGTCCTCCACCACCTTGACCTGCATCCGCTAACATTGACACATTGGCTTTGCTCTCTCACACCCGACACACGCCAAAGAGACCACCGCCTCGTTGACGCACCTCGAATCTGCTGCTGCGGCGCCGGCATCCAATCCGTACCTGGCCCAAACTACTTAACCACCCCCATCCCAACCACCCTCCTTCGTCCGAAGCCCTTCTAGAGGTTCTGCTTCTTCTTCTACCTTCCCGTCCCTCACCCTTCCTCCCGACCGTCTGTCTCACTCTGCTCCGTGTCAGACAGCAGCGTCCATCCCCGGCGACAGCTCCCCGCGCCCTCTCGCCGGACTTTCCCAGTCTCCAACTAAGCATTGTCCGCCCTCATCGGCCGCACTACTCGTCGCAAGCGCATCCGAAGCGCATCCCTTCCTCGCCAACGCGTCGCAACTTTTTGACATTTAGCGCGCCCTCGAGGCACAATTCGCCCATCATGTTGTTTGCAATGGCTTTCGCGGGAACGCGATTCCTGCAGATCATCACCTTGGTAAGCGCCTCACTCACACCCTTAGTCTCTCACCTCACCACCAAATTCAATCATTGCGACAATTTGCGCCCACAATGAATTGAGAAGGAAACCGGGAACAAAAAAAAATTCTAACACGCCGCCAAACAGATCCCCACCATGGGCATGCTCGCCTGGTTCGTCGACGGCTTCGTCAAGGCCAACGTCATCGTCCCCAACTCCATCCTCGTCCTCTTCATCGTCTCCGTCCTCGCCCTCGCCTGGGCCATCTTCACCCTCTTCAGCTACCACCGCAGCAGCGCAAACGCCCTCTTCGTCGCCGTCATCGACCTCGGCTTCGTCGGCGCCTTCATCGCCGCCGTCTGGTACCTGAGGGGCATCAACTGGGTCGACTGCACCGACCTGTCCCGCAACGGCCAGTGGACCGCAAACTTCCCCGGCCTCTTCTCCATCTCCGGTCCCCGCCTGAGCTTCATCACCAACAAGCCCTGCGCCATGCTCAAGGCCTCCTGGGTCTTTGGCATCATCAACTGCATCCTCTTCTTCTTCACCGCCGCCCTCGCCTGGATGCACGGCGACCACCTGTCAAAGAGCTACGACCGCAAGTACTACCACCGCGGCCACCACCGCCGTCACCGCAGCCACAGCCACCACAGCCGTCGCAGCTCCCACTCCCGCCGCGTTTATGTCTAAGATGACAACGCGGGTCCGACGAAGCGCATGCGACATGCGCAAACCTATAGAATGAGAGAAAAATGTGTGATGAGATTTTATACTATACCATGGAAATGACACGATTAAGATGTATGGGGGGAACTTGTGTGAGAGAAGAGTTTCAAAGTTTGTTGCTGAAGGTAGCAACAGCCTGGCGTATTTATTTGGTGGAGGATCTATTCATGATGACGAATCGACGACCTTGAGTCAATCCTTCTCTTCCCCGTCTCATTTTTGCACCATTGTCTTAATATTTTCCCTATCCTCGATGACGATGCATCGGTCTGGCTGGACCGATCGAGCGTCTTCTCTCTCATGTACACAGAATGAATTTCCCGACCAGACAATGAAGAAGAAGAGAATGGACATGATCATGAATGAATTGGTATCCCGCCGCCCCCTTTCCATGTGACCCCATGTGTTCCCTCGCCATTTTGGTTGAACTTTTGAAAAAAATAGAAACCCGTCAAAGGTATACACACATCTACGACCTGCCGGCGTCCTCGCCAACCGTGTACCCACGCGCAACACCACTTCTACCCTCCTCGACGAGCGTGCTGGCCTCCTCGTCGTAGTCTGTCCCCAGACCCTGCCACGTCCTTTGCGACCGCAGGTACTCGGCGCCAGGACTCAGCACGCCGTTGATCGTGGCCACCTCGCCCACCTCCCGCTTCACCAGCGCCGACTGCGCCCCCGGCTTCGCGAGGCTCTCCCCGTTCGTCTTGGCCGTCTCGTTGGCAGACCGCACCGGCATCCGCATCGGCCGGCTGCTCACCAGCTTGCCCGTGCGCAGGTCGTACTCCGGCGGCGCCGACTCGTCCTCGGAGCGGTCGTCCTCCTCCTCGGGCTTGGCCGCGTCGTGGTCCAGCTTCTCGATCCCGCCCCACCACTCGACGCCCCATACCCGCTCGCTCTCGGGCTTGAGCGCGACCTCGAGCTCGAAGGGCGTGATGACGGGCTTGAAGAAGCCCGCGTCCTCCTCCACCAGCCCGCTCTCCCAGCACCCCACGACGACCCACCCGTCCACCTCGGCGAAGTTGGCCAGCTTGGCGGCGTTCAGCTTGCCCACCACGATGGTGTAGCTCTTCTTCCCGGCCTCCGAGATGCGCCGCCGCAGGAGGTCGATGCTGGGGAGGTAGTTGGACACGGAGAGCGTGTTGACGAGGATGCCGACCACGCCGGCCGTCGCCAGCGTCAGCACGCGCGCGAAGCGGCGGCGCAGCAGCGCGTTCGTCACCCGCGTCGGGTCGTCTGTGGAGAGGTTCGCCGTGGAGAGGACGTGGAGGGAGGCCATGCGGGTCTGCAGCGCGAGGAGGAGCGCCGGCGGCGGCGTCGAGATGTGGAAGAGGGAGTACTGCGCGAGGTCGGCTTCGGGGGTCTCGTCGGCGGAGGCGCCGACGATTCTGCGGTTCGGGATCGTGCCGGCCGGGTTGTGGACGACTTGGGTGTGCAGGAGGTTCGCGTAGCCTGACTCCTGTAGCCTGGCGAAGAGCGGGGAGACGTGGTCTTGGTACGTGACGTCGGCGACGATGATGACCTTCTTGTCCTTGTCGGGGAACTCCTTTGCAAAGGCCGCGGCGGCCTGGTCGATGTCGAGGGCGTGGCGCGTGAAGACGTAGATGACGGGCAGCCTCGAGGTCGGCGACAGACACGAGCGGCCGTAGTGCACGACGACCTGCGCGTCGACGTGCTCGGCGGCGATCTCGTCGACGCAGCAGGCGCTGTAGGACGTGTCGGCGAGGACGTAGACCTTGTGGGTGTCGGGTGTGCCGAGGGCCTTGGTCAGCGCCTCGGCGACCCACGTCGCGTCGCAGAGCATGGCGTCGGGGAACTGCAGGCCGACGCGGGTCCAGCCCTTCTCTGTGATTTCGCGCGCGGTGCGCTCGATCTCGTAGATGGCGAAGAGGTCATCGTCGCTGCGGGACGCGAAGGGCGGGGGCTCGGGGGTCGGCGTCGGGTCCTCGAAGGTGTGCTCGGCGGGCGTCGAGAGAACGGGCGGCGCTGCGAGGTCTGCCATGGCCGCTGGCTGGGGGCGTGGGAAAAGTTTTCGTTTGGAGGGGTGGTGGTGTGACAGAGTGCGGACGATGGATGGCGGGGTTGCGATGGCGGGGTACAAATTGGAAAAATCGCGGTGAGCTCACCGAGTCACCGAGGTGCCAGCCACTGCAGTGCATGGACCCGCCCCGGTGTATTCGAAACGTTGGCCTCCGGATTGGTTGTTTGGCTGCCCGCGCCAGGGCTTATCCTGTCTTCACAGGTTGCCCCAGCTATCGTCTTCACTACTTTTTGTTGCAGTCATTGCATTGCTTTACTTTCTTGTGTGAGGCAAATGTCATTATATTGTTGCGAAGTGGATTCGAATTCAAGCACGCAAACTGGCGCGGGGCACGTCGTGCGATTTCACCCCGGCTTCCAAACCTGTTCGCTCTCCTCCATACCTCGAGAGTGTCGAAGCTGCAACCATTCAAAAGCTCTGCAGCCCAATCCACATTTCGCTACCCAGAACAGTCCTGTTCTTCAATTAGTCGTCTGCGGCTATCACTGTTGGTATCGCTCTCCCTGTTGGTCAACGGCCCGCGCCTCAGCCCCCATCGCCCCTTGTTGCCTCCTTTAATAGCCATGGGCCTGTGACTGACTCAGAGAATACTGCCTTCCTATCTAGGCTGCGGCTACTATATCCAGCGTAAACCCTGAGCAACAGCCCATGAAACGTCACAGCGAGCACGCTTCCAAGTACCCTCATTGTGTAAACACGTTTCTTTCGCCAAGAGAGAAACTTGGAAAGACCGAATGGTTTTATGCCCTGAAATTGTTGTCGTTGCCGAGCACGTGGTAGCCGTAGGTGTACTCCTTAGTGCTGCCAGACCACCAGTCAGTCCAGCCTGAGACGTACCAGCCGCAGACGTTGGTGACGGAGGCGAAACGCTGGGCGGCCTCGTCGCTATAGCAGCTGCGTCGGTTGCCACCGTGGGAGAAGAGGCAGAAGAAAGCGACGACACGCTGACCGCCTCCGCTCGCGATGCCGTACAGGCGCTCGCCGACCCCAATTTCCTTGCCGCCGCCGCCCTCCCACTTGAGTGAGTCTACCGCCCTGTCGGTGGCGCCGTGGTCCATGTTCTGGTGGGCGCCGCACTTCACGACCACGTCAAGTCAACGTTTACTCTTCCTTGACCCCAAGGTGCGTAAATTCTACGGAGCAACCCTCTCATAGTGTGCTCCAGAACTAGGATGTATTTTGGGAGGAGGGGGTTTTGGATTGTTCTGAAGGGCCCTTTAAATGTCACTTACGTCGTGGTATCAGTCACGCTTGCCAAGCGTAGCACCACCGGCACCATCGCGCGTCTCGATGGAGGGAACGGCGCCGATGTCACGAACCTCTAGATCCTCGATGGCCGTGTGCACGGCCAGACCGGAGTCGTCGTAGGAGACCGAGTAGACACCGTCAGGGATGTCATCGGGGATGCTGAAGCCGCCGTCGGGAGTGCCGGTGGAGGTGAAGCTGGTAGCTGTAGCACCAAGGCCCAGAAGACCGGAGATGGTGATGGACGAGGCACGCACAGTGGCTGAGGTAGTGTTTGGTATCTGGTATCGGTGTTTGGTGAAACAAAAAAGAAGAGGAGGGGGTTGTCAAAGATTGAGTCTTGAGAAGAGGAGAGATCTATCTGGTGTGGACTCTGAGCTCTGAAGATGAGAAGGAAAAGAGTCTTAGGTTGAGAGGCCTCAATGGTTTATACAGGCGGATTCTACCGCTGAGATGCCTGGATATCCCACCCTGTACTTACCCTTAATTTTGGCAGCAAAGTGCCGAGCACTCGAGAGGTTTGCACTTCAATAAAATTCCCGGTAGAAAAGAGGTGCACTCATTATCGCCAAGGTCAGCCCCCTCACTAACTGCCAAATGGGCCAGTCGCATCCGCTAAAGTCGTGAGGCTGGACCCAGAACACACCGAGATCGTCAACCTGCCAAGAAGCGTCGGAACCCATATATTTATTCGCTGACCAATGAGACCAATGTGATGCTGAGTTTCCATCACTACTAGCAGTCTCAGCCTTGTGTTCCCTATATGCCAAGCAGTTCTTGTGCTACCCAGCTGACTGCATCGTCGTTGCCTAGTACCATGATCGTCCCATTGAACCCACCTGTGCCGTAACCGCATAGAGGAAAACGGGAAAAAAGACATGAGACTCGATTCGGCGGATTCTGAAAGTCAGTTCTCGCCAGGAGCAGCTTGTACGTGGCTAGCTGGCTCTGAACATGGAATGCACAATTGTGTCCAGCCCCCCTCACTCTCATTGCTGTGATGTTCCCTACCAAACGCTTTCAGAGTTTGAACTGTACCTAATTTAAAGCTCTCGTCACAAGTTTTACCCCCAGCATGTGAGCCTCTTCATGGTTAACTCCCGAAGTCCCTTCTGTTTCCTGACTGACTTGCAACTGAACTTTCTAGACTATGGGACTTAGCTCCAAAAACGTTGCGCGTTTCAGTTCTTAGAGCGCTGAAGTTCTGAATTCTAATCATAGGTTGAAGCCCAGTCTACTTTGAGGATAGTTGAGAGGTCCGTTTCCGCAGCCATCACCACGCGAGGCACGCTTCGCAAGCGGATTGCCGCGGTATATAGAGAGCTCTACTACCACTGGACATCACATACGACCATACCCATTGGAAAACTCGGGATCCCGTCCGCTCTCCCATAGATAAGCCAATGAGGGCTGGCGTAGTAGTCGGGTCGGTGACGACCGGCGAATGCCCGGTGTTGTATGTTCTTTTACCGATCTNGAGGGCTGGAGTAGTAGTCGGGTCGGTGACGACCGGCGAATGCCCGGTGTTGTATGTCTTGCTTTTTATTGTTTTTCTTTTTAAACCCCGGATGCACATTACAAGCAGCGCAAAAACTTGCCCGATCTGAATTCAGTCTTCGTTTTAGTTGGTCTCTCGTTCACTACGTAAGAGACTACATGTACAATCGCCTTCATACACCTGAAATCATGTCCTGTTCAGAACCATGCTCAGAACACCTGCCTGTCTCATAACCAAATCTATGTCTACATGAACCAAGAACTTCTCTGCGATATACTGACAACATGACCACCTGAAATCTTACAGATTTTGAATACTCGATCGCTTAAGCCTTGAAGATGCCGACCTTAGCTCTGCAGCTCGAATCACCCGTGCCACCCACAGCCTCGCAAGCCTTCCGAAATTTACAGTTATCGAAAGCTTCATACCCCAAGAATTCACTCTTATAGTGCTTGCATTCTAGATAACCCTTTTCGTAAATGCGGTTATATTGGCCGGTGTCGCAAATTTTACCAGTCAAGTCGTCATTTCTACTGCCGTCTTCGTTCGTGCAGGTGCAAATCTTGTAGTGGTCGCAGGCTTGGACGGCCAAACCGACTGAGAGTATTGAAATAACGAATGAAACCTTCATGTTGATAAGTCAATGACGTTAAGGGACACTTTGAAGAATTAGTTTGCTATCATTTACGCGAGTATGAACTAACCGACACACTAGCAAGAACACGTGATATGGAGCTCTGATACAGTATCTGGCTTGAAATCTAGTTTGGAGATCGGATGAACCTAGAAGGACTGAAAACCGAGCCCGGCCCGAGAATGAACAGGGTATTTATAAGTGACTTTCTGTCGTTTGGAGAGCCAAAGGCTGAGATGGGTGGCATAGGTATCGGTATTACCGATGTCTGCCCCTCAGTCTGTCTCCCCAACTCCATGTCACAGGAGAGGACAAAAGTTTGGTAAGATTATATCGACCCTCAAAACTGACTCAGCTCAAAAGTCATCACTTCAGAGCCGCTCGTGGACTCTAGCGTTAATATGATACAAAAGCTCCCGCCGAGCCCAGATGTAGACAGAGCCGCCGAGTGGTCGAAGGAGAACCTCCCAGGAGATGATGGCGTACTCAATCAAGAGACCCGTTTTCGGCTTTGACCCAGAGCGTCCTTTCAAGGCCATCACAAGAGTTATTGCGTGATCCTGGACAGTCTTCTGGTGAAGCCCCCTGCCCTCTAGCCGCGGAGTCCGCGGCGCGGGATCCGCGGCGATCAAGCATCCGGAGAATTTCGACGACTCGTTCTCAGATGATAGTGCCCGTGGACTTGGAGCAGCAGGCTGCAACGCTGAATCGGGCCATGCCGAACCAAAAGTCGACGGCGGATATCATAATGTGCCCCGACAAATTTACGCCGCTGTGAAGGGACACGAGTCATGCATAATCAACGTCAAAACATCTCCCAAGTAAGCCCTACGATCAAGATCTTGTCCAACACTCATCTATGAGATGCCCGCACCATGTTAAGCCCCGCTAGCAATCGTGTACACTGTGATGTACAATATCTTTATTGAAGGGTTTGAGTTTAGCACGTACCAAACGTTGCCAGGCCTCTTTTTTAGTGTCTTTCAATTCCACATCCAGATATCCAGGCGCAGCACTTGCTTAAAGCAGTCAAGCCGGTCGCGTGCCTATAAAAAGCCCCGCATTGTGCGACTGGTGGCTTAAAGTAAGCGAAGCATTGTCAATAAGACCAAACCGTTCCTTTGACAGACACAAACGACTCCCACCAATTCAAGAACAGGACTAATTTCAAAGAAAGTTGAACAGTACTGCATTACTCGTATACTCAGCTACCTCAGATTACTACTACTGATATCCTCCACAAAACATAACGAACTGGGGTGTCTCAAATTCCAATCTTTCCATTACCAGAGGCCATCAAATCCAACTCGGGGATTTGCTGAGATGCTGCTACTTAAGCAGAGAGCTTAAGCAGTCTTCTGAGTACCATCACGGTCGCCGAAGCCGGGAGGGGGAGGAGCGCCAAAGCCGGGAGCGCCACCCTGGCCGGGAACGGGGAAGGGAGCAGGGAAAGCCGGGCCGGCGGGAGGGGGAGGGCGTCTGTCGCCGTCGCGGTCACCGCCACGGCCTCCACGGCCTCGGTCGCCATCACGGTCACCGTTGCCGCCACGACCGCCGCCGCGGCCACCGTCAAGAATGCACTCCCTGTCTCCGTTGCGGTCGCCGTTGTTGCTGTTACCGCGGTCGTCGGTGCGGACACAGCAACGTTCGCCGTTGCGGGTGCGACCCTCGATGCCATCACGGCAGTCGCGGTCACGGTCGCCGTCGCGATCGCCGTCACGTCCTCCGCGGCCTCGGTCACCATCGCGATCTCCGTTGCGATCACCATTGCGGTCGCCATCGCGGTCACCATCACGGTCCTTGCCCTCCTTCTTCTCGCCGTCCTTCTTGTCACCCTTGTCCTTGTTCTCAGCCATGGGCATGGGAGGAGCAACGGCAGGAGCAACGGGAGCCTGTCTGGCCGTCAGGGCGTTGGACTGGGTCAGACCACTTGGGGCAATAGTTAGTATGGTATTAAAGGTCCGTTGTAAGCTTTCAGCTTGGGATACTCACTTTTGCTCGCCAAAGGGAGCACCGTTAGCGCCGAGGGTGGCAGCCACCATGATGATGAGAGACTTGCTGAAATGCATTTTGAATGTTGGACTCGGTGAATGAGCAGTGAAAACTAGGGGTATCTCTGATGTTTTTGAGAGCTGAAAGCTAACCTTGAAAGGCGCTTGATGTATAGATTGTAGGTTGAATAGAAGACGTGATGAAGAATGTTGAGTGTGATGAGGAGATTCCAAAAGCAATTAGCCAGCGGATTTGTGCTCCTTATATATCTCTTCGGTGTTCTGCAAGTTGAGTAGTTTCCGAAGCACCCCTCCTTGACCCTCGTGAGTTTTGCTACCCATGTCTCCAGTAAGGACTGCACCCTCACATCGCTTCCGTACCTCCATCTCCAACAGTTCGTTTCCCCAAGTGCCACAGTCAAGCATAAGCAGGAAACTTTCTCTCGAAGTCTATTATGCGGTCGGCACCCCGGAAAGGGCAATGTTGGCAGTGGCCGGAGCCAATGAGATCTGCGTGGTGTGCGCGGACGACTTCCACTGACCATCAGGAGGCACCGCCGCCCACCCATTTTTGAGGCTGCAATTGATGTGAAGGATGTCCGCGTAAGATCAAAATCAGGCTGTCGTAGAGTTTGAAAGCGAACTCCATCTGATATTCTCTCTTCGGAGAATTATGAACATGCTGCCCAGCTTGCCCTGGTCGATTCGCACCTCCGCTGCTACCCGGGCCAGGGGCCCCATTCCTTTTTCTGAGGAACGCCCCCAACGCCTCCTGGCTTCAAACTACTGTGGTTGATGCAAAATTCACGAGGATTGACCGGCCGTTCATGCCAGAAGCGAGCTCTGGCCAGCTTGGCAAGCAACTTGGTGGCATCACCGGTCGCCGGAGGAATTGCTGCGTGATCTCGAGCACGATTTCGTTGCTACGCACATCAATTTCTTGGCAGCGGCGATATTGCTCATCGGGACTGGGGTAGCATATCGTCACATTGGCGCTGAGTCACTGGGTTCGGTGATCGAGATTGTGGTATCACTAAGCTGTCTTGCTTCATTTCTAGAATATTGTATCTACTAAGACGCTTAATTTGACGACAGCGTGCGGTGTGTATAATCTTTCGGCTTATTCTTACATGAAGCTGCGCCCATGTTGTGACGTGGTAACACAGCCATTCTGCACTTGACCATGTTCGTCTCTCGCTCATTGCCTTGCTGAAGGGGCAACCACCACGCCAGACGTCAACCCGAAGACAACGAGAAAATAAAAGTAAATCAATCTTGAGAAGGGGCGGGGATTGCATAACCACAAGCTTGACCCAAGCCATTGCGACACGTACACATCTGCTAGACACAAGCTATGGACCTTTAAGCCTCCCACTGATTCATGCGATCATCGTTGTCAGTTGCAACTGTTATCTAGGTTGAGTTATGAGAACTACAGGGGGTGAAAACTTCTAAACGTCCGAACGGCTTGTCTGGTAATGGAAGATGGTGTAGGCCCTTTCCGAAAGCAAAGTATGTTCGGAGGGTTGTCCCCGGCAGTCTCAACTCGGGACCCATCATCGTCTTGGCAACGTTGACGAGTTTGGATATCGACGAGTTCTGAATTGCCTCGTAAAGAAACAAAGCATTCAGCTCATCAATAATGCTGTATTTTGTTCCTGCCATGGAAAAGAGCTACCATGGCCAAGTCCGGAGAAGCCGGCAGATGAAACAATATCACGAGCGGCAAACTAGTCCCGAGAAGTGCAATCCGAAGGGTTCATGGGTAAACAAAGTGGTTCTACTTATGCGACTAGTGTATCTTCCAACAAGCTTTGGGCGTGTCTCTTTCACTCTATTTTGCGGAGATGGTGGAGCGAATTTCAAGTTCCAGGTCATGACTTGGCCTGGACCGCATGGTATCTCCTATGAAGCTGGTCGCTATTGTAGGTGACCCTTGCCTTCACTTAAATGCAAGCTTTGCATGTTCAGATGCAGTCAACTTCGCCGGACCAAACAAAACGACGCTCCATAAAGCCTAGATCAACAACAGCGTATAGCAACAGCAAGATCCACCCGACTTCCAATGAACGCGCCTCCAGAGATTCCGTGCCTCTAGTGCAATGCTCGTTTAATCCGATTCAGCGTGAACCTTTCTGAAATCGCCCCAGCGGAAATGTTTGGTTTCGTTTCGCCCTGATATTAAGCTTTGGAATCCACCAGATCCTATTGGAGAACCGATTAGCGCACGTTGAAGGTCCAGAGTCCAGATGACATTCGGAGAGAACCTACATATCCGCTTTGACTCTTTGTCTCACTCTCCTCACCTTCAGATTAATGCTAAAAGCGGTTTATTTCAAGTCCTTTCCAGTTGGCCGATACTGTGCTTTGACGCATGGTAAAGGATTCAGGCAAGACCCGCTTGTTGCCCATGAGCATAAGACTTTCAAAGGGCAGCGGAAACATTGGAAGCCATTGGATCCAGTCTAGCATACCGTTGTTGGCAGGATGATCCAGCCTCAACTTGTAATGCATTATCAAACAATTCCAAACCCACGAAATAATTGGGGCGATGTTTTTCGACACTACGCAGTGACTAAGATGGTTCCCCCATTACCTACCCGTGAAGCAACTGCAGGGTACAGGATTGCATGATCGACTTTACTTTGCGAAGCGGCTCCCCTCACGCCGAGGATGTTCTTTGCCGGGAACGAGGCTTCACCGTTATGAAGTATACCCGAATACGCGAGTTGATGAGCTTGAATACTCTGCTGGCTGAAACTTGTCTAGTTTTGATGTCACTTAACAGAATGAGAGATGAATTGGCTTAATTATACGTTGCACCTTACACAACTGCTCAGGGTCACGAGGGATCGGGAGCTACCATGGACATCTTCTACCAGCAACTCTTTTATGCCAAGCTCAACTATCTAATTCCGATGGAGCTGGTGAGTCTGAGCATCTGGTATTTCCCGTCCAGTTAAAAGCAGGGGCGCAACAGTGTCCAGCTTGGGCGAATGACCCAGCCCGATCGCAGACACACATCAAGAAAAACATGATAGACGAATACCTTCCATGAAAGCAGCTTCTTCTCTAACTTCAACCCGTGGATTCTTCAGCATGTATAATGCCAGTGTCAATTCGCCTGGTCCTTGGTAACAAGCCCGACAGGAGTCCATGCATCGGATCCGAATTGAGCCTGAGCATATCAGCAAACCCATGCACTGGGGGGGGAGGGGGGAGGAAGATCCGCCAAAGCCACCGGGTGCACATCTCATACTTTACTTCAACCTGTACTAGCGATGATTTATCCTCAAGCGACTCTCCTGATCCTGGTGTTGAAATCTTGCGATGAATGACTGACCAGATGGGTGCATTTCCTGCAGTCTGCAGCCATGAGAGTTCTACATGAAAGGGACGACAATACCTACATAGATGCCCTGGGTCCTCGGTTTGAGGTTGCATATTCTTATCTCGACGCATGAGGACGATCCCAAGATTGCTATTTTGAACGAGAGATTGTAGGTCCGAGTTTGCTGGAAATGACGATGGCAGTGCATATTTGCCCCATGCTCTTTGAATACCCAAGTAACCCAAATTACCTCCAGGCGGCTATAATGCCAATTGATCAGACTGCTGCGCCCTTTCGGATTAACTCTCAATTTTGTTAAGCCAAAGTCCGGTCTACGGTGAATGTGATGCAGGCATGATACGGTAATAGTGGTGACAATAGTCAGAATGAGTGGGCCCCCTTCAGACGAGATGCGAGGAAGACAGCGAATGTCTCTTTCTAATGATCGTCAGCGCATTTTGCCTTGCTAAATAAAGACCATCTTCATGTGATGACTGTGCATCAATTAAGCTTTGGCAGGCATGTGCCGCCTTCGGAACGAGTCACCATGCACCTAGAAGAACAACCTCGCTGGAGACTTTCAACCTGACTGATGCACCACCGCCGAGGCCGCGAGCATAAAAGAAAAGCAGTCTCTGAAAATTGTATTCGTTGGACTTTAAATTGCACAATCTGCGTGAAGCGCTCGCTGTGATGAACCTCACATATCAGAGCCACGTTGCTTCATCAAGGTAAACACATAAGGCATCACCGTGGATAAACAGCACATTAACAGTTGACGAAACTTAGAAATTCGCGTTTAAATGCTGGTTTTGTTCTAGGTGAGGCCAATCGCAAAGAGTCATTCCTCCTCCATCACATGGATCAACACATCACATTGTAGCCACATCACAGCGAAGACTGAAGGTCAAATAAAGTGAAGCGTACCGTAGTAATACAGTCTCAATTTGTCCACGAGAAAACTCCGAGCCTACATGTCCGATGCTAGACTACCGCCGCCCAAGTAGCAATATTGAACTCCATGATCCCTTCGCAACGGTGGTATTGAGTTACTCGAATTCATTCATGCCCTGCCTTATTCGTGCGTCGACTACTCGAATCGAGAAGGATTACCATTCGTATCGGGACTGTCCAATCGTTTGGTGATGTTCCGGGCCAGGTGGATTAGTTGCCGTAACTGGAAGTCGGAGTCATTCGTGCCGTTGTTGAGCTGCGCACCAACGAGACCTATAGTCTTGCACATGCTGATTAAGGTCTCTCGCGCCAGCCTTGAAGCTGTTTCGGGGGATGATTGGCGGTAGACACGGCGATCATCATCGGTAGAGAAGGACTCTGGCTCTCTCAAAACCGTAAGGATGGAGGGGATACCCGTCACTGTAGGGCTTTGGGGATCCCTGGGGCGTCCAGGGGTTGTTGGGCTCTCGGACATTTTGACGGGTGGGAGAAGACACTCGGTGGAAGTGGACGCCACTGTGAAAATTGGTAACGCAAACTGTGAGGGATTAGCTAAGTGCAAGTATATCAGAAGGAGGAGATGTGTACCTTGACGATAAGTCGATTGCTGAGTGGTTGTGGATGGAGCTTTCAGAGCGTGGAAGTGGATAGGTAGATGCTTTGATATGCTGGGTAGAATGCAGCCAAGAGAAAAGAGGGGAGGTGACAGGTTCCTTTAATGTACTCGAGTTCGGAGCAAAGGTATGAACACATAAACAGAAGGCGGCGGGGTACCTGGTCACGAGATCATGCGCCTTTCTGAGTTTCGCGTCTGTCTCCTCATCAAACATCATCTGATCTCGAGAGCTCTTTCCGCCCGTAGGCGCCATAGCGAACGGCCGTTACCCTCCGTTTAAGGTTTTTAGCGTTTAGCAGTCAATTATATGCCCGTGATCAGAAACTGAAAAACGCAGCATCGAACTATATGGCGTGACATACGTGTCAGCAACTCGGCCGACTCGGTTTCGCCAGTCAAACCATCAGTCATTCGTCAATGACTACTAAACATCTTACTTTTGATATCGTGTGGACACCATAGCCGACACAGTTCATGTGGCTGGAGCTCTTGGCACCGACACTGCCGGCGCGTGGCAAGCCAAGCCTCCTTGATTACGAGTGTGTTGCTCGGGAGGGGTGTTCAGCCTTCGCGCGGACGGACTGCGGGGAAGGCAGCGAACAAGGACCCATCCCGGCAGACGGGGACCCAGTGCTGCCGGCGTCAGGTGGAGTTAGACAACGGCGCTCGGCCCTTGTTTCTTCACTGACAGAACACCAGTCTCTCGGTGAATCGCAAGGAATGACGCCCGGAGTACGTAAGCATCTCATGTCTCATGTCTGTTCTGGAAGATCAAGGATACTTGGCATCTGGGGAAGCTGAACGGCTTCCGATTGACCGAAGCGCGTTGACATGCGCTGGGATAGCCTGTTCTCTGTTTCTTTAATGGCCGGCGGAAGACAAGAAGGTGCTACGAAGTCAATTCCTCTGAAGTGCGGCTCTGTCTCATAGACCACCTTAAACAAACGAGTTGGCTGCCTCCGCGACTAATGGCATACATCAAATTAACGGCTCTCCAGGGTCTCGTGAATTGCTCAGGGAACGCGCCTCAACCCCAAACAACCCCGCAGCAACATGATCGATCGAGACCATTCGGTCGCGACACGCAGCATAAAGATGATATTATTGCAAACATATTGGGTCACGCACTCTGTGCCGATGATACATGTCGTGCCACTCTCGAAAGGGAATCGCTTATCTTAGTGCCTGACATGGGCTGTGTGAGACAACGCGCAGTGGTGCCAAGTTTCCACGCATGCCAAGACTTTTAACGTCGCGCTCATCTCGCGCCCACAACAAGCCTCCTTCGCTCTCGGTTGATGCTGAAAATTCCAACCGTTTTCATCTCATTTCCATCCAACGTTAACCTTGCCAATAACTCATCTCCATCGTGAGATTTCCTTTGCTACAGATCCGGCTGCAAGATCTCCCCACAACATGGCGGACATCCACGGGCCCCGCCCATCGGAGCCGGCCGGCAACGGTGGCACGGAACACAGCCACGAGTCAACCCCGCTTCTCCCTACCACCGCGTTCCGAACCGTCCATCAGACCATCTCAAGCCGCATTGCACACGAAGGCGAAAGCGGAAGAAGCGGTTTTCATCTCCGACACTTCCTGGTTGTGCTGTGGCGGAGTTCGTGCACCGCTTCTATGCTGGTCAACTTCCTGTGGCCCATGGTACCAATCGCCATCGTTCTCAACTGCCTCCCTGGACTTCATCTATGGAAATTCGCAACAGCATACGTGGCCGTCGTGCCCTCGGCAAATCTTTTGGGTTTTGCTGGACAGGAATTCGCCCGAAAGATGCCCAAAGTAGCTGGTATTTTGATCGAGACTACCTTCGGGTCCATTGTTGAGATAATTCTCTTCGTGGTTCTTATTGTCAAGCACAATACTCACGAAGGAAATGGAGATGAGGGAAACTTGATACCCATCATCCAGGCTGCCATCCTCGGAAGTATCTTGACAAATCTTCTGCTCTGCCTTGGGCTTTGCTTCTTTTTTGGTGGAGTTCGCAACTCCAGCCAAAAGTTCCATGCAATCGTCTCTGAAGTAGGGACTGGGCTTCTCTTGGTTGCCGCGTTTGGACTTTTGATTCCAAGCGCGTTTTACTCGGCTCTTAAGGCTGAGACATGGCCGGAACTCCCAGGTCTCCGGGTGACGTTCCATGAAAAGTTCACAGAAGGCACCCTTCAAGCTGATGTCTTGCGCATTAGCCAAGCCACGTCTATTGCCTTGATCGTGGCCTTCTTTCTCTACATCTGGTATCAAGCCAGCAGCCAGCACAGCATATTCGATGAGGTAATTGAGATGGATGAGCACCGAGATGCCGACCGTGAGGAAGACATGGAGAAGCCCAAGTTCACCATGACAGAAACGGCACTGGCTCTCACAATTTCACTTGTGTTAGTGACACTGCTCCTCATTTTCCTCGTTGAAGGCATTGAAGAGGTCGTAGAAAGTGGGATACCCGATCAATTCTTAGGCTTGATCCTCCTCCCGTTGGTTGAGAAGGCTGCCGAGCACTTGACTGCCATCGATGAAGCTTGGGGTAAGTATGAAATGCCCTCGCCATCTTGAGTGAGAATTCTGTATCAGAAACTTTCTAACTTATACACGTGTAGATGGAGTTATCAACGTAGCGCTCTATCACTGTCTCGCGCCATCAATCCAAACAGCTCTTTTCAATGGCCCCTTGGTTGTCCTTGTTGGCTGGGCATTGGGCAAGCCGATGGACCTGAATTTCGAAATATTCATGATCGGCTTGCTTGTTCTTTCCATTCTGGTTGTGGGCAATTTTTTGCGAGACGGAGAATCAAACTGGCTGGAGGGGGCTTTGCTCGTGGTGAGTTCTAGCCGCCCACACGCCATCCTAGCTGATGTTTTCTTGTATCCTAACTTTTGCAGGTCGTCTACGTGATTATCGCGATTGCATGCTGGTATTATCCGAACCCTGACGTGGCCACTTCCAATGGCCTGGAGGGATCAAAGACGGTGGACATCACTATGACCGTTGACACTCTCCGGCAAATCCAGCAACTCCTGGCGACGAAGCTTGAGGATTGAAGCCTTGGAAATCGGATTGGTTTTGACACATACTCCGGACCGGAATTGATCTAAACCAAGCCCACCAAAAAAGCAAGGCAATGCAAAGTTGTACATGAAGTCGGAGGGCGAAGGGTGATATGCACTGTAACGTCACTCATGGAAGGGTTCAGAGCGGGTGAGAATTCGGGTGTCGAAATTGAGAGCTTTTGGGATATCTAGCGCAAGCTGCATCGGCAATGCTCGCTCCGTGAACCGTCCACACAACACCTTGTCTTCATTTGCTCAGTAGACCTGTTACTCCAGTCAGTCAATTACAATATCGATGTGCTCTGAGATCTAACCTACTTGCAAAGTCGTGTTTGCTTAGCACTTGCAGTAAGGGGCGCCAGCATCAGGCTTGACGCAGGCGTCGGAGCAGCCTCCGCAGTTGGCAGCGAGCTGCCACTTAGCGCCGTCGCAAGAGGCAATGGCCGCGTTTCCGGAAACACACTCGTAGCCGGCACCCTCGCAAGCGGAACCGACGGTGACCGCGGCGGAGACGGAGGAGGCCATGACGGCGAGGATGGAGGCAATCTGGAAGAACTGCATGATGGCGATTGAGATGGCGGAGTAGTGGAGATGAGAAGATGCTGTGTTATGATGGCGTGATGGAGGAATTGACAATCGAAGAAGGAAACCATTGCTGTTTATATGATGGGAACTTTCCAGGTTTTCCGTAATACGTGGTGGAGGAAATCTCGATGATCATTCAGGCGGTCAGCCCTCAACAAGGGGATGTGGAGGTGGAGGCTGTAAGGTATTGGGATGAACACTCCGGCCTCAACTCGGTGGGCGTTGGGGAATGTTGGACATCCTTTGCACACGCAGCATTGCTCCAGTTTTTCAGGGCCAATATTGAATACTCTGCGTCCGAAAACTTTGATCATAGGTGATGCATGATTAGACTTCAGTGCGGCTAAACCTCTGCAGCTGTCGACAACACTCAAAATCTCGACGTGCTGTCAAGAGGTAAGGCTAGCAAGTGTCAAACTTCAGACGTCAAGACGGTTTGAGTCAGGAGTAACGGAATACGATCTGATGAACGTGACCCTGTTTGCGGCGCCCCGAAGGGCTATCTCCGCGGTTGATCATCTATGTTTGTTCTTCAGCCAGCGGGGTTTGCGGGCCTGTGCTCGGTGAGACACCCCACCGATCGACAGGAGTAAACACGGGGTATCCGCTTCGGCACTGGCGGCGTTCCCGGGCGGGCTTCCATACGTGCGTGTTGCATTACCGGAGGCTCACATGTAATAGGGCTCCCAGAGGCATGGCTAAAGTCTAAAGATCAGCGAATATAGCGGTCAAATTGAGTGTGCAGACGTGGCATGGGCTTGGTATTTTAAGGAGAGCATGCCAACATGATGGCTCGAGAATATGTACAAGCTTGGGCCCACGAAATCCTCGTGTTGCAATATGCAGCTCCAAGCATACCGCGTATTCATCAATTTGTCTTTCGTGTTGAGCATGAATCTCAAGCACGGTGCATCTTCATTGATGATAGATGGAAACCACTGCTGGTACTCAATTGGATATGAAGAACTTGTGTAATTAGACACGATCAGAGACCATTGACATTACCACTGTCCTTGTATTAGAATGAATAGCCAGGACCGCCGTCAACAGGGTCAAGGGATACACTGCCCAAGTACATATCATTAAGAAACGCCCAACTCCAATCGTCTCCACCTTCCAAGAGTAAAGGGTCAACACCAGCGATATGTGATGGCGCCGAAGACAAAGGAGGAGACTGCATTTGCCCACTCGTCCCAACTGTCCTTTCATCGTTTGGTGGTGGAATAATCTGAATGTTTGCGCGGCCACCAACAGAAGACTGTTCTCCCGGAGGGGTTCGGAATGTTGTGCTTGTGGCATTGCGGCTGTTGTTCCGATGATGGCTCGGAACGAGCGATTCGACCCCTCGCGCATCGGGTTGCGTGGGATGGCCCGTCGGCTCGGTTTCTCTGATAATGGAGCTGTTACTGACAATTCTATCCGATTTCACCACCCACTCCTCCAGCCCGCCTGTGTCGCCTCCCATCCGAATGCTTAGCCTCTCGCCCGACTGTTGAGAAGTGGTGCGATGTCGGAGGTTGCGGTGGTAATCCTGAACCATGGAAGAGAAGTACTGATCTACTTCGTAAAACCTCGCGACGAACGCTGCTGCAACCCCTGAATATCTGGCAAGTTCTGAAAGCGTGTCGAACATTACTTTTGTTGGGCCGAACGAAGCACTGATGGGTTGATTCTCGGCCACTTCGTCTTGGTCGCTGGATCGGCTACATAGATAGGCTTCTGTGTCCATGCGAGGGAAATGTTGTGCGTAGACTCCGGTGAAAGAAGCAGTGTAGATGACGAAGGCTACAAGAGGAGAATGTGGAAGGCGATCCTCGCATAGTTCAATCACGTTGGCGACCGTCTTGCTGGCCCCGAAAAGCTCTCGAGCGCTTTCTTCCCAAAAACCCGGAGGAACCTCCTCCGGTGGAAATGTAGGCTCATCCAAGGGACCAGATGGTCTGGTACATTTGATTGGAATGAAGGGTAGATATTGCCGATGAAGCATTATCTTGCAAAGAGACATTAGAAGATGAAGAATGATGTATGTGCTGGACGTGCTCTCATGGCGGAAGTAGTTTGAAGGACTGAGGCTCAGAAAGGTTCCTGGAGCTTCGAGAGTCTTACTAAAGGCGTCTGCTTCTCGACGTAGTTGAAAAAAAAGAGACTCGGGGTTCCAGGGAGGACGTTGCTTGTCCAAGAACCGACCGCCAGCACTAGAATACTGAGATATGCGACCCCATAGGTCGACTAGTTGGACAAATCGACCCAAGATGCTAGTTTCATCATGCAGCGACGACGAGTCCACATCACCGGAGAACCATTCCGTGCTAGTCTGGCGGCTTAAGTCGAAGTCCTCTTTGGCGCAGGGTAATCGCACGTGAAGGTCATCTGATCGGATGAATGATGGTCGTTCTTTGCCACAAGAGATAAGTCGATCGAAGATGAAGCAGCTGAACATAGTCCTGCGCCTAACCTCGCGGTCAACGATAGCGTCTTCAAGTGTTGCGTCGGAGTGGTTCGCTGTGCTGTAATTGGCCTCGTATCCCAGCTTGAGTGCCTGCGCCATCCGTCCAGCCGAACCGACTAACATCCAAGCCCGGAGGCCCTCGTGATTTGGCGAGATCCATTCGTAGAGACCAAGCATGAGTAAGGCTTGCACACGCTCAACTGATCCGATGGAACATGCCGATGCGAACGAGCCCAGAGACTTATCCAACGTTCTTGCAAAAGCTTCGGAAATACCTTGGTCCCCAAGACTGGAATCATATGAGACTTCTCCAGAGCCGTTGTCGAAGTAATCGGCGAGCTCTCCGTGGTATCTCCCGGTTAATGCCAGAAGACCGAGAAGGACTAGTTGGGTATCGAATGCTACCGACGCGTGGCCGGTTGTCAAGTCGTATATCCTGTTCTTGAGAGTCGGAACATGTAGGAATGAGAGCTCTGTGGCGAAATGACGCTGAAATGTGACCAGAGCCTTGTCCCACAGCGTTCTGTCAATACGACGGACGATGTCAATGTCATCGGAACGGAGAGCCCCATCCATCCGCGTGTGGGTCGCCCGTCTCGGCCTTTTCTGTCCGGAATGAGGTGTCGCAGTCTCCCGTGAATCCCGAGGTGCGGAAGGTGGATCGGGTCTCTTCAGTGGCGACGGGGCGGGCATCGGCCACACACATTCTTTCCGACTCTTGATGCAGTTCTCGCAGGGCGCATCTAGGCGGCCAGTGTTCTCGCACTTGATCTTGGAGCGTCTGCATCTTGCGCAAGCTATGCTGGACCGTATTCGCAACGGGCCCACCATCTTCCGGTGTGGTGCTTGGCGGGTGGTAGAGTTGAGAATGCGGGACTCTCAGTCAGGAGCCGAAGAGTCTTTGAGATACTCACCGACAACCTGCGCTAAGCTCAGGAGTCGGTGAGGAACGAAACCGACGGAGTGGTTCAAGAGTCCGGTCGTGAGGGGTAACAAACAGATCCGGTGGTGTTGGCCCCCACTGACTCATTACTAAGGTAAGATAAGCCTCCAATCTTATCACCAGGTTAGTCCATGCCACTGAGGAGCGAGCATGGCTGAGCTTGACGCTCTTTGTTCTCAAGAAAGTCCAGCAATTTTTGATCTAAAGAGTCCATGGGGCGATTGTGCTCCAAGACACAGGGCGAATGGGTGGCCTTTGACTTTGAAAAACCAATAAGCTGCCGATGCAGGAACTTTCATGGCTGAAGGGCAATATTGCATCCGATCCCCTGTTTTGACTGGTGGTTGCGCGTTCGTAGGACTTCTCGTTCTCCACAGAGTTTTCTCGGTCAAAACACCGAGAAAACTCTCTTGTCGATGCAGAAGACACGAGGTAGAACCCCCAAATATCAATGCGAATCTCATTCTTTCTGCCTCGCACTGGCCTTTAAGAATACTTGAGCAGAAGTAGAAGAAACAATCGTTGGCGAGTCGGCGACGAAGCACAAGATGCGCTAAGCCTACTTCAGTTAGCCGAGACTTTCTCCAGTCAACAGCTCAGGGGGGAACCTCGTGGCAGTGAAGAACATTTGCTGCGCTCGGATAGAGATCTCGGTAAGCCGAACATTTCGGCATTCAAAAATCGGAATGCCGAACATGGGTCCAATCAACCCAGTCATTATCACCATGCTATTGACAGTCGAAATCGCGGATAACCGCAAAGAGCCTTTCCACAAAAGCTGACAGCGCTTCCAGAGGGGTCACTACATGTGCGTCACTGCTGAGAGAAATGTGTTGAACTGTGCACATCTATTGACTCTGGTACCGGGCACAAACGCCCTTGATTGGTGGAAGAGTTGGCAACTGATTTGTGTCCCTTCCATAATTCCTCCCAAGGTAGGAGTCCGCATTTACCACCTGTGCCAATTTCTTCTTCTCAAGCTATCTGTGTGACAACCGTTCACGGCGATAAATTGTTCTCAATCAGCAGCCAAAACCTTATGCTACGATCTTGTCAGTCAAGTTGGCTTTTCGGGACGGGTACAATCGTCAAACCTGTTTTGCAACACTTCGCAGAAAGAGATGTTGGCCAATCAACAACCAAAAACTTTGCGGATGCGCTTACCAAGACCAGTCGTCTTGGGCTCGGGAACAATATACGTGGAAGGGGACAGCAGAAGATAATCATCGTCGTCCTCCTCCTCGAGGTAGTCGAAAGGACGGTGACTTCTCGAGTCAGTCGCCCACCGACGTCCATACCTAGAGCTGAGAATGTCGAATCTGTGGCGCTCGTCTTTGACCATGCCCCCGTTTCTATTGACAACAGCATGCTTGAAAGAGTCCATCACCTTCTAGATGGCGGACAGAGGCATGGTAGCCCAGGTGGCGAGTTGCGCCACGACGACAATGATAGTTCCCCCACAGCCGGAGTTGGGATGGTCTGAGTCCGCGACGGTATGAGCATCATTTTCGGGCGGAAGGTGTAAGATCCTGCGCACATCCTTTTATTAGCAAGAGGAACGAGACGATTGCGACGGCAGTGAGGGTTGAGAGTGAGAAATACTTGAGGTGAGACGCGACCCGTATTCCAGGCATGGGCGGGAGCATTTTGAACTCGTCATCGTCATCGTCGAGCAACGAATAGCTCGAAGGCTGGGAGCCCGTGGATTCCATCGCGGCTGTCTTGGATTGAGTGGTTGAAGGCAAGGGACTCAGGTAAGTTGGATGTGTTGCTGGAGAAGGAAGCTGGGAAGAGACTTCGGAGGATGAGAATGAGGCAAGAGATGAGGTCAGCAATGGCGCCTCCCGTGTGCCTGCCTGTTTGACCGCTTCAATAGAAAAGCAGTTCCTTGTAAATCCGACTGCTGGCTCGCTATTGAAAAGGCTCAGCGCTCAACAATTGATCACGCATAAAAGTCCCAGTCCATTGACATTCTTGTGGGGTTTATTCTGCAAATGTATTGTGGCAACGGCTTGAGTGAAGCAGAGTGTCATGAGGATAGATCTGGCCATCTGCAATGCACAAGAGGCGGTGACTCTTGTAAAGAAGACCAGAAATGAATTATGTAGCGGCCTTTGTTACAGTGAGATTAAGGAGATCAACCAAAACTTAAAGAAAAAGAAACAGTAAATGATTCATTCTTAGGGGCTGATTGCCAAGGGAGACAATGCTTGCCATGCTTTTTAGAAAACATTCAATCTACTGCGGGGCTTCCCCATTGAATGAATAAGTAAGAAGAGTTGCGTTTCAAAGAAAATTGCTGCAGAGATAGTAAAATCCATGATCAACATTATCCTATAGCGACCCCTCAGGCCACTTGTACTCGGGCCAGGGGAATTGAGGATTCCATGTGTGCTGAAGAATGATGCTACCCTCAGGAAAGGTCTTCTTGCTGCCGTCTGGTAATTTGACCGAGCGGGCGGGGGAGGGTATGGTCCAATTTGCAACAATCCCGTTTTCCTTCGCCAAATTTTCATACAACTTTGCAACCTTCTCAGGCCGTGGCCTGAAATTGTCGAGGTGATCGGGATCCGTAGACTCTTCGAATTCGCCAGGTTCCGCAGTAAACCATAGCTGCTGATGGCTTTGCTGTTCTTCCATGTCCATCCCGCCACAGTTGCTGATAGTACTTTGCTCGTAGTCCTCTGTAAGTGGCATCTCCACTCCACAATTATCCAAGTCCTCCATGATGTCTATGTTGGCAATTTCGTAGTTGACCCAAGTAAGTGGCAGGCATTCTGCTTTAACGAGTATCTTGATGAGGACGTTGACGCTTTCGGCCTCGTCGGAGTCGACTTGGTCTTGCGTCGCGAATGAGTCAACATACCAAACTGCAACGTCCGAGGCGGCATGATTGTCAATGATGACGAATCCATCTGTTCGACCAGCCGCGTCTTCAGCACGCCGGATCTCGGCATGTGACTTGTCGTGGTATGAAGGATCATCTTTGATCACCATCTCGAGGATGGGGCTGAATCTTGAGCATGCACCTAACTCGAACGCCTTCTTGAGCTTTGCCAGTGCATCTTCGGGCAGGCTGGTCGTGACGTAAGCGTTAAGCTTGGGAACGTTCGTTGGCGGCGAGATATAAACCATGGTTGAACTTGGTAATAGAATGATGCTGGGATGGACGATACGAGGGGAGGGCGTCGTAATCGGAGGTGGCTAATGGTGTTATATATCTTGGCAGCGCGAGGGGCTCAGATGATTTTGACTTTGGAAGGATTCAGAGCTAGTGGGCCGTGATGCCGTAGGATGAGAGTGCAGTGCCTGAGTGTTACGTCACAAAGGATCGACATGGGCCTGGCCAATCTGAAAAAGGGCGGCTTCATGAGACGAGCTGTCTTACCCAGCACCCCAGGTAATGTCTGGCAGCCTGCTGCCTGCAGAAAAGCGCTAATTGAAGGGAGGCGTTTTTGAAAAATGCCCAGCTAGGTTTCATTCGGTTAGTAATAAGAGCTACGTATCGTTTTAACTGGTAATATGAACCCCGCATATCAATGGCTGAGTGTTCACTTGTGATTCGACTTTCCTAGCAGCTGTGTAGGTGCTAGGAAGACTTGGAGGAACGTCGATGTTAGGTTGTAATTAATACTGGCTTTGAAATGCGAGTGCATCTGCATCCAGCGATTTCATTCTCACAGGCTTCGATGTTTCCCTGATGCTTAGGTAGTCACAAATCTATATGGGCTAAAACTTGGTGTTAAAGATAAGGGAGATGAAGTGGTAACCCTCATCGTGGTATTCCAGCCTGGCGTTTGAAGTCTTCAAGCCACTCCATGTTATCGGCTGCAGTTTGGTTCCAAGGGTCGTCACTGGCGCAGCTTAATAGGCTTTCTGTGTCAAAAGAAGGGGGAACTTACTCGTCAAACAGCAGAAAACGAGCCTGATGACGAATTTCTTCGTCTGATGGGACATGATGGGTGGGGTTGTTTGAGGACATCGTCGATGCCGCCCATCGCTTCAGCTCCATAGCTAACCATCGATGTGAATTGCAATCGTTTAGTACGAAGGCTCCTGACTTAAGCCAACCGGGTCTACGGAGACTTCCTGCTGCTTCGTGAGCAGTTTCAGGCAACTTTTGGTACTGGCGAGAAGAGGCATCTGCTAGTTGGAGCTCAGATGCCGTTCCCTTTTCCAAATTCCCCTTTTCTAGCATATGAGGATACTGGATGTCGTCCATCTCAAAGATAAACGCATCAGATCTAGATTTGGGGCGCGAGAACAACCCTTCATCATGGGTGTCTGTTTGCAGACCCAGCGTGCCATTCTCGTTCATGGGAAAGCTAGCCCTGGAAGCGTGAGCAATGCTCAGACCCAGTGGCCCCAGAAAAGCATCTGTGAGTTTGCTGGGGTCTGCCCCGGCTGGAAGTTTCTGCTCTGTGTTGGACAGGAGGCGGGTGCGCTTCTTGAATCCATAGAGCCATGTTGTAGAGGTGGTAATCAACTTGGTCAGCCAATTGGCAACAAAGTCAGGAGATCCAACCGTGAGTCCCTCCTCCATGCGTGTAACAATTCTACAGGCCTCTGCTTGGAGATCATTGTCCATTGGGACTATAGACTGAGACGCTCAAAGAGTGTGGACGTAGTCTCGCAGCTGAAGCTCTAGCGGGCACGAATCAAACAGTGTCCTTTTCCCGTTGATCCGGAGAACTGAAAGTCTACTCTCCGCCTGTGATCTTATGGATCCAAATTTCGCCTTCGTGGTAATGTCTTCATTTGATTCGATGAGATCTCGTAGCCAGGATGAGGTGTCTGTCTCTTGAATGTTGGGCGAGGTGCACAGAACCTCCGATGCAAATATGACACGGCAAGCTTCCAGTTGAATTTCGGAATTCTTGGGTACCTGTCCGTATTCGTCCATATGTCTTTGCATGAAGTACTCCAGCTCCAAGGTCAACAATTCGTACGCACTGCGTGGTGAATTAGGAGGAACTAAGGTGGCATTGAATGGGAATGGCGTGTGACGCTCGTGATCAATGATATCTTTCGGCTCGGTTAGACATGTCCTCGAGGTTACTATGAGATCCCAGGACTCACACGGAGGCATAAAGTGTTCAACAGTCTCCATCACTGATGGTTCAAAACCCCAATCACCAGTCCAGGATGCCATTGTTTTCCCCGACTTGAAGTGGTCCGCTAAATGATCAACGCGATCTTCCCAGGTCGGAAGCAACTGCTCGCAAAAGCCGCAACGCGAGCGAATCTCCGGGGTAGCAGTTTTCCAACCTTCTATGACCCAATCAACGCCTGGTGCGTCATGAAAAAGGCGTAAATGCTGTTTCAGATGGTCCTTACGGTTGAAGACTCTCCCGTGACAGGCCATGTAGTTGTGAAGGTTGAGATGTGCCTCATCTGGATTGGATCTCTCGCAGAAAACGCAAGCCTGAGCACCGGTGCTGGGATTGACGCTTGTCGGGCCATTGGGAGCACAAGCCCATCTATCCAGTGGTATGTGGAGCGACTTCTCGTGTCTCTTCCATTCGTACTTGGCGCGAAATGTCTCTGTACAAAATGTGCACTGGAAAGGGCCTCGGTTTTGCACAAGGGGCGTGCTGTGCCCTCCTTTACGAGTTCTGGGCCGTCCTCGTTTCTTGAAAGAGGGCGGCAAACTTGCAGATTTAAGTGAGCCTCGAGAACTTGCAGATGCCTTGGAGCCCTCTCTGGAAGATACGACACTACTTGCCGAGCTTTCGCCCATGAAATATGATGGATCTGATCGAGCCTTTGGAAAGATTGTATTGATTGGGTCACCTAAAAACTTTTCAGCCATGGTTACTGTGTAGGATGAATGTCCTACTCTATGCAGGGCGGTTGTAATTGGACTCACTTGAGGCTGACGGATTCCCAGAGGCTATTGCGCGAGCGATATCATCAACTGCTGCAGGCTCATCCTCGGGAGGCGAGTCAACCCATCTCTCCATAGGATCCATGTCAAGATAATGGCTCTCCATGCGTGTCCGATTCGGAATTGGAGTTCCTGGACGCCTTGGTACATGGGCGCCTGACTCATCTGACCAAGGAGAACGTGCAGGAGTGGTGTTTGCGAGTGATTTCTGGCGTCTTCTCGCATTGGCAAGCCAGTTTGATATCTGAGTTTTGGAAAGTCCAGTCGACAGCTGCAGACTCTGCCTATCGGCTTGACTAGGATACGGGTAGTGACTGTGGGTATTAAGCCACTCTTTGAGAAGACGAGCGGTGTCTCTGGAAAATCGCGTTCCTATTTTGGGTGGAACGGCACTGTTGGATGGCGCAGCCATATCCGAAATGGAGCTTGTGCTTCTACCAGATCTTGGTATTGTTGTGCGCCGTGTTAAAGAAACTGATTGTTGTGAGGATAGTGTGATCGCAACTTGGTCATCAAAGTTTCGAGAGACTTGACCGGCCTCTAGCTACACAGTATGAGTCAGTGGAGATGGGCAAGAAGTGGAGGACTTACTTGGACTGGATGACTAGGGGTTTGTGGCTGGCCGAGGTCCATTTCGAGGAGATCGAAACTTCCGATGGAAAACATCGAATTTGGCAAATCAGTTGAAGTAGACCGAAGGGTGAGCTTATTGGCAACGGGTGAGACTGGACTGGCAGGATCTTGTTGATTGACGCTTGTCGCATCGCGAGTATCTGCCTGTGGAGGATGCTGAGACTCTGACCAGGGTTGCTCCTCGCGTGGTGTAGGTGGCTCATCCTGGATGGCTGCCATCGTAGCCCAAGATAATTTTGGTTTGTATTTCTCACTTACCAATACGGGGCTTCAACTGAGAAATGGATGCTCAGTAATGTGATAAGAAAGTCATGTCCGGAGAAGAACGGAGTCGAAAGCTTGTCCGACACTTGCGCCAATCTAGTGACCTGTGACTAAGGCACTAACTGCATGAACTCGTCAATCGCGCCTTTTTGGCGAAATGTACACGTCAGGACAGTTTCTGATTGGCTCAGTTTCGCCGCATTAGAATGGATGTCGGCCAAAAAAAGTTGTATTGTTCTCCGATCCTTAGATAAAAAAAAATACAAAAGCTCATCTTGATTAGAACGATAAAATCAAGGAGATACTGGACGCATGAGGTCTATTCAACTTCCGGACTCTCAGCCTGCGCCAATTGCTCTCTTGCGAGGTTTGAAGACGGACCCCGGTTTCGGATATGGGCGCAATTGACAGCGTTTGGTGGGTCCTCAACATTGGATGGAGGTTGGCCCAAGCATCTTGTCAAGAGAGGCATAGTCACCGCCAGTTGAGAAGTGCTTCTTCGACGAGAAGAATCTTTCTGAGTGTTATCAGCACTACATGAGCCCAATTGCTTCAAAGTCGGCTTGAATGGACGTGCAGATGGTGTCTACCACGGCGTCCTCTTCGGCTTCGGGAATCCCCAATGCACCAGTCGGCCAGGTCACTGTGTACACCAAAGGCCCTTGCTTCACGCTAGATATGTTGAAGCATATCGGGGCACTCGACACATGACCCGGCTGGGAAAAGACAACGTGCGTGATTGTAGGTTTCTTCTCGCCGTCGCGAGTCGCACCTTCGAAGGCGCCAACGTTGCTCACTTCGTGCGAGCAATCGCGGCGCTGGCCGAGCTTAGACAGCAGCCACTTCCTGACACTCGGCAGATACCTGAGCAGACCGATAGGTTGGTCTTGCAAGGTGGCTGCGGTCTCGGCGAAAGACTTGGTGCTCGAACTGGCTGCCAACCATTCCGCATCGGAAAGTGGACCAGCCGAGGTCAGTTTCGGGTGAACCAAGTACGTGGCTGACACAAATTCTCCCATCTCGTCGCTGGGAACTCCGACAGACTTGCGCATGTTGATGGCCGTCTGAGACACAAAGTTGGTGACATTGACTTCGCCGAAAGCTTTGCTCATCCCTCGCCCAATGAACTGATGTAACAGTCCCATCAATTTGGCGTCATGTGTTTTCGCCTGGCACAGTGCCCTGTCCACCAGAGGGGATTCAACAACCCTCAGAGCAATCTTGGTCCTGGACTTGTCGCCGGCGAAAGCCGCTGGAGACCCAGTCCAGGTGCCTTCATCAAGAGTAGAGGCCTGTGCTTTGAGACCCAACCAGTCTGATATGAACTTAGGGAAGAACACAGCAACCAAAGGGCCCAAGAGAAATGACCAAGATATAGGAAGGCGATGAGGCGTGTCAAACGGGAGCCCAAGAGCAACTTGTGGTGGCTTGACAGTCGACGGGGCATCGGAGGCTAAGTCTGAAGACCCCCTGATCGCTTCGAGTAGAGATTGATGTAGAGAGATTCCTGAAAGTCCATCGCCAATCATGTGTGACCAAGCGAACGCGATGAAAGTCTCCGAGTTGGAGAGAGGCAATATGATGATTCTCCAAGGAGGGATGGTGTGATTGAAAGGACGGTCTAGGTTGGAGCGCTGCAATTCCTCTATTGCGTTCCATCGTTCGAGCTTCGTTGAGATGGGCAGTTCTTTGATTTCAATGTGATCATTCAGGTCGACCATGTGTACACGCTGGTAGAAGGATTTATCGGTGTGCCTGTCTCCCACAGTGACGCCCAGAAATGGATGTTGTTCGATACACCGTGCCAGGGGCCCGAATAGCGATTGGGGTGACCTGATAGCAGGCCCATTGCCACGCTCGTAGATGGCGCCTATAATGACTGCATGGTAGAACCCAAGGTCCTCTCTGCTGATTGTCCGCTGTTCGTTTGGACCTTTCATTTGCGCGTGAGCTGATATGATCTTTGATCCCTTGCTGTGATGCTGCACTGCAGAGAGTACTTACTCGCATATCTCAGGAACACTCCGTCGACCTCCATTATGTCGGACCTGTCTATTAACCGGCAGTTACAACCTTCCAGTAACGTTGAGTATGTGCATAGAAAAATCGACAATTGGTCTGATTTATTTCCAATGCCCCTTTGCTTACTGTTGTACGAATCAGGTTAGGCGGATGTCTCGGACAGTAGGAGGAGGTTGGGAGGCCACCAACAGCTCCACTATCGACGGATCGATTAGGCAGCACGAAGTGCGACAAATTTCAGCTGCACAAGCATTAATTCCGATCCACCAGCGTTAAACATTCTAGGAAAGCTGCATCGCTGGTCAGTTTTCTGGGTTGTTGACCAGCCGTCCAATTCCCTGAAAGCCTTCAGAAATCCTGACGTGCGAACAGCATATTACGAGATTCAATGATTCTACTCTTTGAACCTTGACGAACGAGTTTGCCAGACGCTGTCCAAACGAATGGGCATAGGCGCGTTCCCATGGCGAGAGGGGTAGTGCAGCATACGTGCTAGACGGATCCTTTTCACGTGGTCCACCTGTAGCATGTCAATGAGTTTGGGAATGAACAACTTGTGATCTGAATAAAAGTCAATACCTCAACCAGTGCGGGCAATTTTAAACCCAGGTCTTCGGTAAACCATGGAAACTTCAATGTTTCCTCAAGCAGTAAACCTCGTGCTGCCTCACAGAGTCTCTGTCTGCCACAGGTAAATCAAAGTACCAAGCAGTCTGGACCACGAAAGCAGCAAATCGAAAACTTCTTCAATTCATAGACCGATTGCGAAACGTCATATGGGATATACTCCCGTCATCGGCTGGCCAAGAACTAGAAGTTCATTCTTGGGCAAGTGTGTCGCTCGGCAGGCCGACGGTTGATGACTGAAACCCATCTCTTTATACTTTTCGTCGGTCTTGGTAACTGTGGCATGTTTCCATTCTGAAAACGTAAGCAGGTTGTCGCACTTCTGACTCGATATCTTCCGACTTGTCTCGGTTGAAAGCCGACGGCGGGCTTCCTGGTACCGGGTCAAAGCCGACTGATGGTCTTCCGTGACCAAGGATTGAACCAAGATAGGGGTGTGACCTAGATTTGCACCTTGCCAAGATTGTAAGCTTCCGCCGTTTGATCCACGCGTTCGCGGAGAAGTAATGGGGACTCGAGCACCTCCGGGGAAGCTCACTGGTCCCGGGGTCCCCAGAAATCTCCTAGGACTTAGTGGATATGTCCCATACATCGGACGAGGCCCCATCCGCTCATAGACATCAACTGCGAATGTACGGCGGATGCATCCAGGCACACGACAGTCGGACTCGCGGCAAAGTCTACTTCGTTGGGGCTACGGCGACTGTGCTTCCTTGGTACCATGCCCCAAGGACGTGTTTCCCGGAAGAACGTCTCATCTTTACTGTCATTGAGACGAGTCATGGAATGATGCCATTACGAATAGCACTCTTCGCCAATGCATTCAGTGTCCAAAGTGTGGCTAATGTATGCCGGAAGGAACATGGATAGCTTTTCTCAACCGATGCCCATATTGTCAAGCCGCCACGTGTGTACCTAGCACACTTCACGGCCTGCAAGTGGAGTTACTTAGAATTGATCCTACTGGAAACTGGACATCGGACTGAAAGCGCCAGAGCAAAAAGCATTAATACCACCTGCCGTTCCTCCTATCTGTCTCTCCTTATTTCTCTTTTTATCTTGCTTTGCTATCCGTACTATCTTTCTGGCCAAGTCGGTGTTCAGGTCCCCAACAGTTCTGCGAAGATGCCTATAATCGACAGGAAAATCTACGAACAAACCCCCAAAGAGGTGATCTCTTGGAAGATCGTGGCATACTGCACAATACTTTCCTTCACCGGGGCTCTCCATGGTTAGTGTAATGGGATCTTACCGTCTCGTCAGAGAACTTACTGACATAATCTTCGTTCTAGGATTCAATACTGCGAATATCTCCGGTGTGCTCGCCATGAAGCCGTTCAAATCACACTTCGACTTCCAAGATATGAACACCGCCAATCTCGCCAATTGGAATGGATGGATAACCTCTGTGCTAATTCTTGGATCGTGTCTCGGGTCGTTGACTTGCGCCCCGTTCATCGAGAGACTCGGACGGCGATTCTCCCTGGTAATCTTCACAATCCTGTTCGTGGCCTCAGCAGTTCTCATGACTGCGAATCCTGGTGGATCCGGCGGACGGATTCAGTTCATCGTCGGGAGGGCTCTGTCAGGCTATGGGTCCGGTGCCGCCAGTGTCGTCGGCCCCGGGTACATTGCAGAGATCGCTCCTCAGAGCATTCGTGGCGGCTTGACTGCATTGTACAACGCCAATACGATGCTGTCAGTTGGTCTTGCATACTGGATCAACTTTGGCTCCTTGCAACACATTAGAAACACGCAAAATGCTCAGTGGCAGATGCCTATGGCTGTTCAAGCTCTTCCTGGAGTCATCCTTCTGATTGGCCTCCTTTTCATGCCCGAGTCTCCAAGATGGCTCCTGAATCATGG